GAACGACACTAAGAAATAAACTAACAAAAAAGCACCAAATGCATCTGAGATTGATTTGTTGACCCCCAGTGGGCACTGAGGTCTCCCTACAACCTCTGCTACAGGCTCACTCACTTCACTCACTCCAGGCAGACAACCCCGGAGCCGGGGCCTGCGTGTGCCCCTGGCCAGGTGCCTCCACGCAGACGCGCTCTCCCTTCCCCGTTCCCGCCGGGTGGAGGCCCCTCCGGGGACTCTGGCTCCAGCTCCCCAAGAACACCGTCATCACTCAACTCCCCAGGCCTGTTCTCTTTATAGAAGCGTGTGTTTCCATCCAGTGCACAAGTTACTTAAAGGAGTGAACACTGACCAGGATGAGGCACAGTGAGTGGGAGGAGCCCCACCCAGAGCCTGCGTGTGGGCCTGGGCTCTGCTGCCTGGGAGCTTAACCACCGCGTCTGACAACACCGTCAGCAGCCGTCCCCACTCAGACGAAGCCCCCACACGCCGAGTGTGTGGACTGTGTGCAGCGGGAGCAGTTGCTCTGGGTGCGGCCCCTGAGGACCTAACCCTGGCGCTCGGACCCTGAGACTCAGGGAGCAAGTCCACGGCTCCATCACCAGCTCAGCAAGTGGGTCAGTTGTCGTTTTTATGAGGAATAACCTAGATGACCACATGCTGGCGAGAGGCAGGTATCTCACCGATACATGAACGTGGCTGCAGGAGGGACCAGGAAGCCACATGGAGAATTTGTTTCTGCATAAACGACCAACCCCACTCGGCACGTGCCCGGCGCCCCAGAGCCCTGCTCTCTGCCTCACCTCCTGCACGCAGCTTCATCTCAGGCTCAATGTGCGTCTCCACTGCAGGAAGAGAAGGGGTGTGTGTGGTGGGTCTCATTCAGGGAGGAGGCAAGGAACAGGCTTCGCAACTGCTGAATCTATCCTGTGACTGCCAGGCACTCCAGATGTGTCTGCTGCACGGGCTAAATATAGACCACCCCCAGCCCTTCCCCGGCTCCGGGCGGCAGGGGGAGGCCCCATCAC